ATTGGACAATTTCAATGTTATTCACAGTATATATATATATAATCCCATTTTTCCTTTCATTTCGTTGTTGGAATTGTTAACTGATGATCTTAGGTCCTTTAAAAAGGATTTTGATTGAAATAAATTATTGCAATGGTACCTTAAAAGTGGTCTTCATTTTTTTCATTAAATATTAGCTCTGTATCCACATTGAGCTCTCATATTTCATCCTCCTTGGAATTACCCATTATGGTTTACCAAGTTCTTCGTAATTTAATTATATATATATATATATATATATATATATATATGATATTAGTGGTTAATATATATATATATATATATATATATATATATATATATATATATATATATATATATTTGAAAGAGGATAGAATCCAGGTAGAACTCAATGTCCAGGACAGAGTAAGAATATCATCTGTATCTCACTCATTTAAACCGTTATTAAACTCCTCTCTTTAAAACTCCCCTCTGTTAAATTTGAATCCCCACCTTCATTTTTAGGCCTTCCTGTACTTCTCTCGTCTGTTACCCCTCTCTAAAGCTTTCATTTACCTCTTATATTCGCCCCCGCCGCCACTCTCATACATACACTCTCATTAAATTTTATTTTTTATTCCCGGTGTTATTTTTTCCGATTTCTTTTTGAATTTGTAGGTCTGAAGAATTGGATCGTAATTACGATTCCAATGTAATAAATTATAACCATGGAATATTAGTGTTTAAGCCTTTTTATTATATATATATATATATATATATATATATATATATATGTGTGTGTGTGTGTATGTGTGTGTGTGTGTGTGTATTTGCTTGGAAAAGGAGACGCAGATAATTTGTATTTTTTTCTTTTCTTCTATTGGATCTACAGTTGTCGTCCCCAACTCAGCTCCGCGATCTTTAATCTCACCTTGTGTTTGTTGACTGCGGGGATGAATTGAAAATATATATGCGAAAAAACACACCGGCTACAAAGAAAAGAAACCCCCCCCCGCCACCACTGCGTCACTACTAAGCGTTTTGTTCCGTCACTAACTCTCTTCGTAAACACTGCTTTTCCCTCAGCTGACGGGGCTATCACTAACTGCTTACAGTCGCATCCGCTTGTAAGAGTGACCACCCACGACAACCAGCCCTACCCTAACATCGCAAAACCCGAATACCTTAACCCACACAATGACACATTTTCTTAGCATTCTAGAATCTTGTTCACTAGACTTAACATTTTCAAACCCCTACTTAATGTGATAGAAGGCCATAAGCAGAGGCTGGATTAATTCCAGGACCACCCCCGGCTGATGCCAAACTCTACTCTTTATTTTACTTATGAAAAATGGCGTAGTATTTTTGTATAACCTACCTATGTTCTCCTGTCATCTTTAAATCACTTCTCGGTTACTTAATGCTTTATAAAATGTAAATACCGAAGATACGCCAGACACATTTCGACAGGAAATCAAAGCCTCAAGGGGGAAAAAAAAGAGATTATAGAAAAATAAATGCTATCGTTAAAGTCTTCGTTCTCTTCATTATAAGAGAAAAAAGAACCCGGATATATTCTTCTATAAAATGATTTGTGCAAACTCCCTAGAATCAGAGATGGTTTTGAAAAGTGAAATTAGATGAGGTAGGTTAACTGAATCAGTCAGTTAAGTCCCATAGATAGATAAATAGGTAGACAGACAGACAGATAGATAGACAGACAGACAGATAGAGAGACAGACAGATAGCCAGACGTAAATAGGTTGAAGTAGGTAGATAGGATATCTTTTTTAATGGCATGTTCTCCTGGAGATCGGAGATCATGTCTCTCCACAAAACCATTTTATTTATTTTCTATGAACTGACATGTCTTCTTGGAAAAGATTTTTGGATTTTTTCCTCAGTTGCCTTCTCCATGATTTTGAATTCAGTTTGCTTTCTCTTGCAACATTTGCAATCATATTTCTTATTAGAATAAATGTTATTTTTAAAGGGTACAGTATTTTTCAACCGGTGTTCCCCCAGAACCCTAGGGTTCTACAGGAGGTCCTTAGGTATTCGTCGGAAACACTTATGAATAGGTAAATGCGTTTTTGAGGAATTTTTGTTTAATTTTATATTTATAAATTTACTATACACGTACGACATATTGTTGGAAAATCTTTGGTTATTATAAGAAAGACTTCAACCTTTTATATTATTTAAACTTATAATAATCACATAGAATCTATGTAGTGATGTCTATATGGCGGTTTTATGGAATCTTTATGCAGTGGGGGTTGGGGAGGAGGCACGATGGAGTAATGGAAAGCGGCTCGGATTGAGGAGTCGGAGAGCAGAGTTCGAATTCCAGTCGAATCCATTACATTCACTTAGTCATAATACCCTTGGAAAAGGTAGGAATCCTCTTCTTCTCCCTCGCTATGGGTAAATAGCGGGACAGACTGGGTTCTGTGGCCTTCGATAGAAATTGGTCTACCGCAGAAATAAATGGCAACCTACTCCCGAAAAAAATCTGTCAAGTCAGAAATGATCATGTATCTTTCAATACAAATCGAATAAGTTATCTTTTATCACGTGATGGTACTTATGTACCATCACGTGATAATATATTCAAAACACTTTTATATTGGATCATATTTTTGATTCGTGACTGACTGAGCAGAAGATTTTCTTGCAGGAGGTTGCCGTTTCTTTTCGCGATAGACTAGTTGTAAACCTAGGCTATAAGGCCTAGTCTAGTCTTGCCATAGCTGGGAGAAAGAAGAGAATGAATTAATACCTTTCCTAATGGTAATTTTCCATAAGGGAGTGTAATGAAGCTGGCTGGAATTAAAACTTGGCTCTCCGATACCTAATTCCAAAACGTCATCCGTTACACACACCCACTCTGTCAACCAGTATTCCGGCATTGATTCAAAGGATTGTTTTCATCAACATCAGAGAAGAGTAATAGTTCGACATAATACAAGTATATTGTCAATTAAACATCTCAGAAATAACATCGTTTTCACACCAAAGAAGCCAGCAAAGCTATTAAAACTGAAGTGGTTAATGTTTATGAAATATGAGAACCCCCCCCCAAAAAAAAAACAGTATTAATGAGAGACGCCAATAAAGAAGAGGAATTAAGAAGACAGACGATAACGATTGACATTGCATTCAAATTTTTAATGGTCAAAGTTGCCCGGTAAGCAAGAAGCCGGTTTGGTTGAGTTTGGTTGGGTTTGGTTTGGTTTGGTTTGGTTTGGTTTGTTTTACGGTATATCAACCTCCGTGGGTTATTTAATGCCGACAAGATTTTTATTACTGGTAATTTTTTCCCCCAAAACTGTATTGCTGGTAATAATTTATTTTTTCAAAAATGAATTGATGTAATATTTTTCCAAACATGTATTGCTAGTAACATTTTTTTTTTTTACAAAATTGTTTTGCTGGTAATATTTTTTTAAAATAATGTACCGCTGGTAATATTTTTTTCAAAAATATATTGCTGGTAATATATTTTTTTTCAAAAATTTATTGCTGGTAATAATTTATTTTTTCAAAGATGAACTGATGTAAATTTTTCTCCAAACATGTATTGCTGGTAAGATTTTTTCAAAAATGTATTACTGGTATTTTTTTCCAAAATATATTGCTGGTATATATATATATATATATATATATATATATATATATATATATATATATATATATATATATTTAAAAATGTATTGCTTTTAATATATATTTTTTGAAAATTGTATTGCTGGTAATATATTTTAAAATATATTGCTGGTAATTTTTTTTTCAAAAATGTATAACTGATAATAATTTTTTCCAAAAAAGTATTCCTGGTATTAAAACCTAATTTTTACACTTTCATAGTGACTCGACCCCTTTTACAGGCTTAGCTATAAGGCTATAGCTGGGACCCTGTTAGGTGCTACCACCCCGGGTCAGGGTGTAACTGGCAACACCAGGTGGTTCCATGCTCCTCAAGACATCCTGATCAAAGCCCTTGCTGTCGGATGTAGTTTATCTTCATACCCAGGATGCGCAAGAAGCCGGAAGAGAGTTCCACAAGCGAGAAGTGCGATAGAAGATACTGTTAGCATAGAGCTTACGGTTACATCACGCCAAACTTAAAATGATGAGACCTTACCGGTAATCTAGTACTGCGCTTAAATTCATAAAATCTAGTTACCATCGAGGAAAACTTATGAGAACAATTATCATGAAATTACTTATAGAAACGTCACAGGAAATCTATGTTACGGCGGTGAGAAAAGGGCTGAAGCCGAGTTGTCAGGTCACGACGAATAACATTGCAGATACTTCTTTGTATTTTACCAAGAATCTCTAAATACATAGGATCGGATCAGATATGTCAGCAATATCCAAAGCATGGATGAATGAAAAACATATAAATGCCGTAATTCCCCATGTATAATACGCCTTATCCATAATACACACCCCTAAATTTGTGCTGAAAGTGTGGAAAAATATTTCTACCCACGCATAATACGCACCCATTGTTTGGTAATCAAACCCTATAAATTGTACCTCACGAATTTCATTACGGCTAGCGTTTCCGACTCTTATTTAAAAAATGGTTTTGAACATAGAATAATATTATTCTAATTTAGTTTTATGATAATTCTTATTTTATGTTATATTTATAGGTATTGTTAAGTACATATTGTATTTGACATCCTTATGGGGTAACAATCTCCGAATGTTAATGTCAAATTGTCGTAGGTTTGTGGTGAGTAGTCATTTCACAACTGAAATTGACCTATGAAACGGAAATTTTTAAAAGAATTTTTGTATCTGTGCATAATACGCACCCCTAATTTTGCTTATTTTTTTTCTAAACAATGCGATTTATACATGGGGAATTACGGTATGTAAAATAAGTTCTGGCAAGAAAAGTTTTCTAGCATGACATAGAGTTAATTAATGAACCCGACTGGAATTCGAACCTCTCTTTCCGATTTCGAGCCGTTATCCATTACACCATTCAAACATCCAAGCTTACAGTACCTGGCATTCCCAAATGATCACCCATCTAGGTACAGACCAGGCTGGACGTTGCTTAACTTTGGTGATCGTCCAAGAAGCGGTGTTTCAACGTGGTATGGTTATAAGGCATACCACTAGCCTGTCCAAGCTTACAGCACCAGGTATTCACAAGCGGTCACCCTTCTAGTCGCTGATCTTGCTAGACGTTGCTTAACTTTGCTTATCGTACGAGAACTGGTGTTTTAACGTGATATGGCTATAAGGCATACCACCCGCATATCCAAGTTTACAGCACCTGGTATTCCCAAGCGGTCACCCTTCTAGGTACTGACCAGGATCAACGTTGCTTAACTTTGGTGATCATCCGAGAAGCGGTGTTTCAATGTGATATGGCTAAAAGGCATACAACCTGTATATCCAGGCTTACAGCACGTGGTATTCTCAAGCGGTTACCATTCCATTGACAGGGATGGACGTTGCTTAACTTTAGTGATCGTACGATGTTTCAACCTGGTATGGCTATAAGGCATGCCACCGGCACATCCAAGCTTACAGCAACTGTGGTCACCATTCTAGATACTGACTAGGCTCAATGTTGCTTACCTTTTGTGAGTCGGTGTTTCAACGTGATATGACTGTAAGCCTCTGCAGGTCAAAGTTCAGAGAATCTAAAATAGGGACAAATATTTACACTCCTTGAACTTACCACTTTTGTTAAGGCACATCGACCAGACCTGTCTTATGTAGTCGGACGGAAACTCCGGATTTCGTTACCGATTCTTCACATCGCTCTAAACCGAATCTTGTCTCTCGATCCTTGCCTTCTCTTCTTATTTACAAAATGTGTCTCTTAAATTTCCTATAAAGACGCTTTCACAGGCCTTGTCCGATCCATGCCGACAAGATACGTCCGCGTGTTTTGAATGCAGGAGATGGTTTGTTTTGTTCGCTATTTCGCGAAACGTGTTCCAAAGAATTCTAAGAACGGCCGTTTCGAGTTTCTCTATTCTCTCGTTCAGCCCTTCCGCTTCCACACTTCTGTTCACTTCCTGGTCAGTGCCAGTTTTATAAAGAATCCAGCGCCTCTTTAAACTTTCTTGAAGACTCCGTAGCGAGCATTGGGAAAACGTGACGGCCATTTTACGTCAAACAAGTTGTCCACAGGAGTATTATTTTTTATTAAATACGCCGTCAGAACATTCCACAAATGTTTAGCTCATTTGATATTTTTACGGCTTATCAACCCTTTGTGGAGTATTTAAAGCCAAAACATATATCGGATTGTAGGCGATTCCCAAGCGGTACCCGATCATGCACATTGTTTTTTTATCGACTATATATATATATATATATATATATATATATATATATATATATATATATATGTATGTATTATAAATTAATTGATTTAAAATATTTTATAAATGAATTGATTTTGATTTTAAATATTTTATATATATATATATATATATATATATATATATATATATATTATAAACTAATTGATTTAAAATATTTTAAATCAATTAATTTAAATCAATTAATTTATAATATTAATGCTCTGTAAATTTACATTGAGCACTATTTTGTAAAAAAATAAAAATATCTATAAGAACACTGGATTATATATCTTACTGTTCTTTCTTTTTTATTTATATATATATATATATATATATATATATATATATATATATATTAGTAGTAGTGCTATTATTAGTATAAGTAGTAATCCTATAGGTATAAGAAACTACACTCGTTCGGAAAACCTTCGGTGTCTTGATTTTGCAAATAATCAAACCAATACGAAAGGGGAAAAAGGTATTAAAAAGAAAGAATTAAGTGCGTTAGCCGAAAATAATCGTCCAGCATACAAGTCCAAAGCCCATAAAAAAAAAAAACCGATACGAGTACGCAAAATAACTAAATAAAGTGCCCAATACAGTAAGTAGAGCAGACCTAGTTAAACCTAGTTATATATACGCGTCAGTAGTGCATTGTGGGTAGTCTATTCTAACGGTTATTTTGGCGGGTGTGGTTTGTTTGTTTATTATTTACTTTATTTATTTATTTGGATTAATTTATTTTACTTGTATTTTCATATTTCTAAAAACTGCAAACACTGCTTGGAAGAAAAAATAGCTATAATTACCTTCCCAGACCAGAACAAACTAATAAATAAATGATCTGAACTCATCTGAAAATTTTTACTACGTTACGTAAAAATCGAAAGCTGAATAAATAAGAATAAATAAAAATACATAAAATAAAAATAAATAAGCAAAAATAAGTAAAATAAATTAATCCAAATAAATAAAGTAAACAATAAACAAATTAACAAACCTCTCCCGCCAAAATAACCGTTAGAATAGACTACCCACAATGCACCACTGACCCGTATATATAAATAGTACATAAAACACACTGCGCATGATCGGGTACCGCTTGGAAATCACCTACAATCCGATATATGTTTTCGCTTTAAATAATGATTGCTCATAGCATGAAACAGTCTGTCGCCTCTGAGTGTTGACTTCAATGCTCACTTATATATATATATATATATATATATATATATATATATATATATATATATAAACTTCCTGAAATCCCTGAGTCATTTGCTTCTTGCAGTGTAGAGACTTAACTGTATTTTTTAACTGAATTTCCCGTTTTTAGTTCAGCATGTTTCGAAATCAATATGACAATGATGTTACTGTATGGAGTCCTCAGGGCCGTATTCATCAGATTGAATATGCCATGGAAGCTATAAAACAAGGTTCATCAACTGTAGGATTGAAATCAAAGACTCATGCTACCCTAGTTGCCTTAAAGAGAGCTCCATCAGAGTTGTCTGCTCATCAGAAAAAGATAATTCTTATTGATGATCATGTTGGCATATCAATTGCTCAACTTACAGCTGATGCTCGGCTGCTCAGCAATTTTATGAGAACAGAATGCTTGAATTCTCGATATGCATATGATCAACCATTACCCGATTAGTTGCAATGATTGGGAACAAATCTCAAATTCCTACACAGCGATATGGCCGAAGACCATTTGGTGTTGGTTGCTTGATATATATATATATATATATATATATATATATATATATATATATATATATATATATATATATATATATATATATATATATATATATATATATATATATATATATATATATATATATATATATATATATATATATATAGTTAAACTTAATTAAACCTTAGGTTTAACTAGGGACTCTACTTACTGTTTTGAACACTTTATTTAGTTGTTTTGCGTACTCGTTTTTGGGGTTTTTTTATATATATATATATATATATATATATATATATATATATATATATATATATATATAATGAATTTAAGCACAGTACTAGATTGGCAGTATGGTTTCATCATTTTACAGTTGAAATAGATGAACCGTAAATTCTAACATAACAGTTTTCTTTCTCGTACTTCTCGCATGTGTCAGTCATTTTTCATGTCTTCTTAATTCCTGTTCTTTTATTCTTTTCGCTCCTTAATATTTTTCTTTTTACTTTTTCTTATATTCTTTCACACTGAATAACACCCCTGAGTCTTAGTGGCTTTATTGCCTTCCTCGGGGTTAAATGATTAAAAAGAAATCTCGAAAGAAGCCGGACCGATGTAATAGTTAATCCTTTCTTCTCGCTTTCCTATGATTTACTAATTTGTATATTTTCAGCAATGCATCTTTCGATAAAACTGTGAGACTTTGTATTTCTGCATCACGATTACCGCCGTCTGTTATTAAACTAGCCAGATAGTTAAATTCTCGTACCTGCTAAATTTTGATACGCCCGATATGCAGCTCACGTTTTAGAATAAATAGTCTTTCATTCTCATTTTCCTTTGTATTAATACTTTGCTTATTTTCTGAAATACATATTTCGCTATTTCACTGCATTTTCGGTTTTCTTTGTCACATTTTTCTGTCGTATGCTAGCTCGTTACCTAGATGGTTAAATTTCTGTAACTGCTTGATTTTGAGCTCCACATACATTGGCTGATCACTTTTGTTGACAACCACATATACTGTCTTCTTACTCTTAATAGATATTTCTTCTTGTCTCCTTTATTATTCCTTTGCTAAAAGTTTATTGTTACATGCAATCCTGTCTACGCTGTCTATATATCTGTCTATATCTCTGAAATGAGGTATTATCAATATTGACATTACTTAGTTATCCTCATCTATACATTAAATAAACCCTGCCATTCACTACGCTGTCCAAAGAGTTAAATTCTCTACCGGCTTAATTTTTCCAACCTCAGTACGTAGATCACATCTTGGACTCTCTCTTTTGCAGAGAACCATACGTTTTTTTTTTCTTCATTTAGTCGATTCTTCTCGAATTTCCTTCAGTATTCTTTTACTGAAAATGTAATAATTATTAGAAAAATATCTTTTACTACGCTGTTCATATATTTAAATTCCCTATATGCTTGATTTTCACGATCTCTCTACGTAGCACACATCTTGGACTCTCTTTTTCTTTGAGAGCTATATATTTTGTCTTCGAACAGTTAGTCCATTCTTCTAGCTTTCCTTCAGTGTCCTTTTGCTGAAAAATAGGATAATTGTTAGAAACACATTACAAAGAATTTTTTAACCTGGAAACTTGAGATAGGTCCTGGATAGTTCAGACGTCATCATTACTAAAAATAAATTAGGGAGATTGTTTGGTTATGGAGGAGACCTGGTGTTACGTGATCCCATCTGAGAATATCCGTCGACTCTTGCTAATTGTGGGATGCCCTTCACGAAGTTTTTATTATTATTATTATTATTATTATTATTATTATGAACAACGCGAATTGCTCCTGAGTTTACGATGGAAAAGACAATAGCATTAAATGTCCGCCTGTTGCAGGAGAATTAAATAAATTAAACTAAATTCAATATTCCGACATCGATTTCAGGAAAATCTAGAAACTAAAACGTCAAACGAAAGGGAACATAAAAAAAAACACCAGTGATGACGTCAGAGGGCGGGATATCATTTTGTTAACGTGGGGGAGGGTAACTGCAAGGAAATAAATAAATGTTAATGAAAAATAACGAAAAAGGCGAAAAAGAATAAATCAAAACACTTGAATTACCGTTACACTAATTAATTTGTTTTTCATCCATGTTGAATCTGGCGGTTTTTAACTGAGATAAAGTGACAACAAGCCTCCTCACACTACCACCTTCTTATAATTTCTAGTTGCAGATCCCTCTACTCATCAGGTGTGTTGTGGTGTGGTGAATAACCTTTCAAACTAAGACAATAAGAGTTTCGAATTCCAGTCGGGTTCGTTGCGTTTACTTACGCCTAATGACTGCTTGATTCTTTTTTACGAATTGTCAACCCTTTGCAG